ACAAATTCCTATCTATCTATCTATCTATCTATCTATCTATCTATCTATCTATCTATCTATCTATCTATCTATCTCATTCTCTTCATATCTATCTCTCTACAAGGCGAGATAAGAAACCATTAGAATACAAATGGCAGTCTCGTTAGTTCAATAGAAAAACGGAATATATAATTAGCAACCTATGATGAAGATTTAAAAACATTCCTATCTATCTATCTATCTATCTATCTATCTATCTATCTATCTATCTACCTATCTATCGCAGTCTGTTCATATCTATCTATCTATCTATCTATCTATCCCAGTCTGTTCATATCTATCTATCTATCTATCTATCTATCTATCTATCTATCTCATTCTCTTCATATCTATCTCTCTACAAGGCGAGATAAGAAACCATTAGAATACAAATAGCAGTCTTGTTAGTTCAATAGAAAAATGGAATATATAATTAGCAACCTATGATGAAGATTTAAAAACATTCCTATCTATCTATCTATCTATCTATCTATCTATGTCCACATGTGTATATATGACAATGATTATACATCGATTTCTTTTGGTACACGAACCAATTTAACAAGGTCAAGAGACTTTTCTCAACTCAAAGCTCAGTAATGCCAATTCGCCTATCCGTCATCCCCGACAAGACCACCATTCATTTTATCTCTCACTGGCCTCACAAACCATAATTTTACCTACTCTCGACATTGCGGTTAGCCATTCTATTAAGGACACGAGTCGGTAGATCTGACAACCTCATTGGACCCGAGAAACGACATGGTTCCGCTCCTCGGTCAACAAATCCCTGATGATTGCATTCGTGAGTCGGCGTTAACAGGACTAATCACGTAGTATCCACCACCTTGGCCGAGTTGCGCGTCATACATCTCCCCTGTTTCTTGCCCTCTTTTTAAGTGGTAACATTCGTCTACATTGAAATTATTTCTAGAGTCAGTTTTCCTCCACAGAGTACATAGCTGAAAGCGAAAGATACAGAATTAGTTGATCTTTGACAAATATTTGTCGATGCATTTTCCTGTAAATTTTCATAATTTCTGAATTTCATGTTTCTTAAATACGATGTCACTCCAGAACATAATCGATACTTACTCCTTTCATCTTGCTTTTCATTTTAGCAGAATTTTTTGCAACACACTGACGCGTGTTTGAAATCCACGCAGAATTTAGTATTGTTTTCCTTGTCTTTCTCGAGAGGAATATTCAAATATTTAAATGCAACGTCAATCGCCATCTTCTGTTTTCCTAAACCTTGTTCCTTTACTGTAGTTTCCTTACTTCTCTCTAAGATCTCATTCTCTTTCACTTCTTTTACTGTCTGCATCTTAGTAACATTCTTACTTAGCTTGAGGTGAAAAAATTAAAAAATTCCTATCTATCTATCTATCTATCTATCTATCTATATCAGGTCATCCCATAAGTTCTGTCCGAATTTTGAATAAAGAAAACAAGTGACCAAATGTTACATTTAATTACAGATTCAATCAACAATGTATTTTCCCTGATGATCTATGACTATTAACAAGCTTACTAATTCTATTACTGTAAAATTCTTTTTGCTTTGATTTGAAGAACTCACAAATGTCAGTTTTAACCTCTTCCTGTGTTACAAAAGCTGTTTCTTCCAAATGATTCTGTAAGCTACGAAACAAATGGTAGTCTGAAGGAGCAAGATCGGGAGAATAAGGTGGATGAGGAATTTTCTCCCAACCAAGTTCGATCTTTTGTGACGTGATTCTTGCTGTGTGGTGTCGCGCAATGTCCTGATGAAACATCACCTCTTTTCGATTCACTAGAGAAGGTCTTTTTTTCCTAAAATCTTGGTTCAAACGCTCTAATTGCTGACAGTATATTTGAGCATTAATTGTTGCATTAGGTGGTAAGAATTCAACGTGGATTATTCCTTGGCGATCCCATCAGATTGAAAGAAGAATCTTTTGCCCATGAAGTTCCCTTCTCGTCCTTCCCCTTTACCAAGCCACTGTCTTTCGATAAAAGATCCATTTTTCGTCGCCAGTCGCAAGTATATCCAAAAAAGGTGAAACAATTTGGCGAGACTGGAGAGAAAAGCAGATGTGAACTCGGGATTTGAGGTTGTTTTCAGACAATTCATGAGGCACCCATTTTCCAAGTTTAGGAAATTTTCCAAGTTGTTGAAGATGACGATGAACAGTTGTATGGTTTGAACTGAGAACCACTGGCAATTCCTCAACTGATAAAGCAGAATTTTCTTCAAGGGCTACTTCAAGAAGCTTTTCCTCAAACTCAACTGGACGTCCCGTACGATCTTCATCTTCAAGGATGAAATATCCACCTCTGAATTTTGCAAACCATCTTCTGCAAGTTCTTTCATTCACACATTCCTCTGCATAAACTGAGTGAATGTTTCTAGCCGCTTCGGCTGCTGAGTTTCCTTTCTTGAACTCATAAAGCATTATGTGCCTCAAATGATTCTTGGGTACTTCCATGTTAGCAGAGTTTTAATCAAACAAAATTTAATTTTATTGTTCTCTGAAATAAAATTGCATCAGTTTAAATGCATCTAAACATAAAAATACTGTTCAGCTCCATTAGACACTATAAAATACTCTTTAAATTTCGTTCATTTTAACAAAAAGTTCAAATTCGGACAGACATTATGAGATGACCTGATATTTATCTATCTATCTATCGGTTTATCTTATTCTCTTCATATCTGTCATAATTGTGAAGTTCTTCCTCGTGTCAATAACCCTCCACACCATCCACAAGTCAGGACGCAGATGTAGTTTATCGACAAGACGTTGTTATTTAATGCCGATAAGATTTTTATTACTGGTAATTTTTTTTTTCTTTCAAAATTTAATGCTTGTAAAATTTTTTTCAGAAATATATTACTGGTAATTGTTTTTTCAAAAAAATCATTTTTTGTTCGTATCTACAAACTAAGTTTTGTTTAATTTCACAAATCAATCGATGAAATGTTAAAAGTTAAAGAAAAAGATATGCAGATAGCAATATTGTATTTTTATTGAATAAGTTTTTTATTTTAATCATAAAATTGTTTTTAAAACCGTGAGAATATGTTGTATGTTAAATAATAAAATGTTTATTTTTTCCCCAAAAAATTAACGAAAATTGTTTTGTACTAACCAACATTCATTTCATTATGCCTCTTTACTCCTTGGGGAACATAGAGCCGCAACAACCTCACTCCAACGAATGCGGTTCCGGGCAAACATTTTATATAACCAATCTGCTTAAAACGTCATTACTTTCCGAACACGCTAATCTATTTAATGAATGCTGTTTAACTAAAAGGAAGATCCTTGAAATTAATACTAAGCTATTTACACTATATTATTCGGAATATTTTCCTCATCTTTGTCGCCATATTTATTACAACGTTTCGGCCCTTGTACGCTCCGGCCTTCTTCAGGTGGTTGGAATGTCTTAAGGACACTTGGCACCGTGGATAAAAGCGTAAGTTAGATCCAGTGACAGAACCCAAAGAGTGTGAGTTCAATACTCGGCTAAGGCAGTGGAGAACTTGGAGAGGGAAATTAACAGAAAATAACTGACATCCATTAACCATGGCACGTGAAACTAGAAGAGTCTACTCCAGTGAGCGAAATAAAGGAATCAGTTCGACATTCCAACCACCTGAAGAAAGCCGGAGCGTACAACGGCCGAAACGTTGTGATAATTATGACGACAAAGATGAGGACAGTAATCCGAATAATGCAAATAGTGTACATAATACCTCATCTCAGAAATATGGACAGATACTGAAGAAAGCCGGAGCGTACAACGGCCGAAACGTTGTAATAAATATGGCGACAAAGATGAGGACAATAGTCCGAATAATGCAAATAGTGTACATAATACCTCATCTCAGAAATATGGACAGATACGGAAGAAGGCCGGAGCGTACAACGGCCGAAACGTTGTAATAAATATGACCACAAACATGAGGACAATAGTCGGAATAATATAAATAGTGTACATAATAGCTCATCTCAGAAATATGGACAGATACTAAGCTATTTATTTATTAAATATCGTGAATACTGTGATCCATCCCTGCAGCCACAGTCATTTATTATATCTCTTGATTCCTTGAGGAGCATAGGGCCGCAACAACACCTCTCCAACGGACACAGTTCCAGGCGATCGTCTTCAGCTCGGCCCATGTCACGCTGGCTGCCTTCCCGGCGGATTGTCACCAGCACGCGTCATATGCTCTACTTTGGAGGACTCTTCCTCAGCCATGTCGTTGTTTGAAGATATCGTTGAGGTTTCTGTAACAAGCTATTTTTTTTTAAGTGAGTAGGTTGTTCGCCTACTGCACAACCCCCAACCTAGATGACACGGGAGTGTCTTTCGTCTGGCACCTACCCCAAAGACCTTTTGAGCTTGGTTGAACCTGCTAAGCGCCAAAGCCCCCGCCCACATAGCTCTGGGGGTCGTTAAAGCTCGCAAGCCGTCCTACCCCGTCACTTGGCGACACATTATCAGGACGGGTAGAAAAGCCAACAGTATTTTGTGCCGCCTTATCTGTTTGCACTTCTTCCCAAAATTTGGTTTCGATTGGTCAATGTATGGCTATTTAGAAGGTGTGACGGACAGACAGACAAAGTGGGGTCATATAATTTTATAGATTGAATCACTATGTCTTCTTGAGAAAGACATTGGACATTTTTCTCGCTGTTACAGTGTTGGATTCTGAATTGTTCTTTTTTCCTCGATTGTCTTCCATCCAAGGTTAGAGAGCGTAGTCTACATTGCTATTTCACATTGTGAGGTTCTTTCTCATGTCAGTTACCCTCCACATCATCCACGAGTCAAAGCTGTAGATATAAAACCATCAGCGATTGAAAAATACTTGTCACTTTTTTTCTGCAAAATTTAATAGTTTCTTTTTTTTTAATATCATGTCCCTTCGGGGCATGGATGATCATTTCTCTTAACAGCTTCCTTTTCCTTATATCAGTGAATTATCATGACTTCTTGAGAAATAGATATTTCAGATTCATCCTACTCCAACAAGGCTGGAGTGCACACTCTACCCTGCTATTTAAATAATCAGGGAGAAAAATAGATTAATGCCTTTCCCAAGGGCATAAGTGTGAAAGTGAATTCAAAAGACTCGTTTCACCGATTTCTTTTCCTGTGCCAATAAATTATTACGCTCCCTTCACCTTCCTCTGAATTTGATTTTTGATTTTTAAAAATTTAAATGCAATTTCAGTTGCTACCATCTTTCTTCGTAACTCTTTTTCTTTTATTGTCTTTAATTTTCTCATAACAATCAGTAAGCTTTGCCGTATTAGTGGATTTAATGCCTTGCTTTATTGTTTGTATGTTTTGTGTATATATATAAATGTGTAACACTTGAATTCCCCAGAATCATT